ACAGGTAAATTCAAATCCACAGGTATGTTCCCTCTTTTGCCTGCTCTAACAACAAATGATTCAAATTTTCAATGTCCCACAAAAGTTAAGAATTGCTGGTGCTAAAGAACCAAAGAGTTTGGCAAATGAATGTAAACAGCTATAAATTTTACTGGGCCACACAGCAGGGTATGGTGTGCTGAGTTGACCAATCACAATACACATGGAAAACAACTATAATGTCAACAGCATGTTACCTTTTTCTGAGTACTTACTCTAAACTTACCAATCCTACTGGGAGAAACACAACATAACCAGAAACACAACATAACCAGAAACACAACATAACCCAAAGTCAAATCATAAGTGCACTATACACATTAAAGTTGAAAGCACTGAGATATTTGAAAACATCTACAAACACTGAACACAAGTGATCTTACCTGTCTGAGCTCTTCCCTGTACATTTTCATTAGTTCAAGAACATTTGATGTTTCTGATGCTTCAGAATCACCCTAGAAGGTATTCGTGTATAAAAATCACAAATTAAAGATCTTGTAATTCTAAGTCTAAAAATTCATAGCTGTTTGTTTCATCATTTGGCAATGAGATGTCCACCAGTTTGCAGCCAATTGTGTTACTGCACCAAAGCACTTTGCTTCATAGTTTTTAAGGCAATAACTGAGGACTAACGCCTAATCAAAGACCAGGGTCTCTTGTTAGCTCTTTCATATACACAACTTAACAGCTACTGTGAGTTGTGGTTTGTGGTTACTCACAGTAATCCAGGGGTGATTCAGGATTTCTTTTGCTGTTCGTCTGTAAGCTGGATCAACTTTAAGCATTCCAAGAAGGAGGTTTTTTGCTGAAATAAAAAAGTGCCCCAAATTAGTGATAACACTCATGTAATACACAACAGGTTATGGATAGATAATTGATGCATAAAAAAAAAAGAAAAAAATTGGAAAGTTGAGGAAAAAGTTACCACATATCTGAAGTGTACCTTTCGGAAAGTTCTCACACTATGTGCTAGTCATTATAATTTACATATCTATGGATGAAATTGCCTTAGAACACTCCATTTACAGACTGTCTCAAAGGGGCAACTGCTGTTTCTCTTACAAGGACTTTACTCCAAAATTATCCAATAAGTGGCAAAATTACTAAATCTTACCAGATTCATGGCATGTTTCCCAACAGGGATCTGAAAAGTCCACTTCACCTTTCTTTATCAATTCATAAAGTTTTTCTTCTGTTTCCGCCACAAATGGTGGTCTCCCAGTTAAACTTAAAGATAAAATAAATAAAACATTTTTGCCCTTAAGACTAAGTTACAAAGTGTATCACCAGGAAATATCCATACTCCTTTATACTGTGTCTTGCATGTAGTTATGGGGTTTTAGAAAGCTAAACTTTAACAAACAATTACATTATGCACGAGAGTAAAAGAACTTACAGGGTATACATTATAACACCTATACTCCAAATATCACATTGTTGACTATAGCCAAGATCATCTATCACCTCTGGAGCTGAAACACAAAGATAATGCAATTACTGTTTTAAAATGATCACATGCATGGATCATTCAGTGGGTGTGTTCCCTCTACAGTCACAACAAAGAGGAACAATTTTCATTTTGTGACCTTCTCCACAATTGCACAATTGTCCCAAGTAGCACTTGAACTCTATTCACAATTTGATAAAAGTAAAAACTTATGACATACAAAACAATTTTTTTTACTTCCAAATAAGAAAGCATCTACTTATTACAATTAAAAAATAAAATATTTCATATTTTTTTTTTTAGAGGGCATGGTAACGAATCCTGCAATCTGATAGGTTCTTTACCCAGTCAGTATTTTCCTATCTCTGCCCACGGGCCACGGTAATGCTTTCAATTGAATCGCCGAGTACATCCCAAATTTCTTTGCCATTTTTCATAAATACATCTCGTTTTTCTGGCTTAGCAGTATTTTTAAGCAAACACGTAAAGTCACTACCTCAAGACAATAAATAACTTATGAATCCTCTCTTTTCTCTCTCTCAAATCACTTTGGTTGACAGAAAAATATTGGTTTCAAAATGAATTTGTTTAAGCAATAGTGTCATTACATTGGTTGACAAGCGGCCTAAAAACTGTCTGCAATTAATTTTAATCATTCACAAAAAGTACCTAGAAAGTTAGAACGTGAGGTATTTGGTTACAATTAAACTGAACGGTGGAACTTTCATTCATTTAATATCTGAATTTTCTCAAACAATTTGTTCATTGTAAAAGAGCAAGCTTTAAAAGTTTTAAATTCAGTTCTACAACAAATATATGCTCTCAGTGAGTCTTTCCAAGTCTGTTCAATTTGGACATTTGTACCGTAAATTGCACAACAGAAATTGAAGGAATTTATTGAGAAAAGGCCGCATTAAATCCCCTCATGTCTTGTTGGAGTGTGCCATTCGAATGTAGTTTTTGTGGAGGAAAGACCAGATTTACACACACCGTTGCAGCAAACAAACAAGCAAACTCTCACAACTTCAAAATATTTACTCACAATTACTTTCCTTGCCATTTACTTAATGAACAGAGGTAAATTTTCGTACATGAATGAATCATAGATGAGAGTGAATAATACTTTCCATTAGGATCATTGAATGTTTTTGAAGAAAACATTGTTGTGACAGTCCTTGCTAAACTAGTTCCATTGTTTTTTAAATGTTCTTATGCTCTTTTTTTTCTTACGTGCTCTCTAATTGACAGGTGTCAGATTGTGACAGATACTTGTAAAAATAATGTTTCAAGTTTGTTTGGAAACCTTTTAAATCTCCCTTATCCTTACACAAAAAATAGCAGCCTTTTTCACCATACGGACCTCCCAGCTGGCAAATAACATATATTTCTTATCTAATATTAAGTGAGTTAAATGTAACTCAAAAAGAAAAAATTATGCAAACCCATGTAAATTGGAGTCCCACAAACACTTTGCATCATTGAATCACTTCCAACACTTCCTTTCACAAATGAAAGGCCAAAATCAGTAAGCTGTAAAAGATAAAAAGATGCAATTACTGTACATGCTAAATGAAGGTTTGTAATACTACATTAGCAACACCTTGGTTTAAATTGCAAATTACACAATCTATACTGGGTTTAAAAAACTCCCTCTCAAAGAAGACTTCGAGGTGGATCAGCAAGGTGAAACAATTAACAAATAATTATGATTTGTCCCCTTTTCAGGATTAATCCTTCAAAACTTCATTCAACTGCCCACTATTATTGGCTTAGGCTTGCATTTACAAACAAGGACACTGAATTATCAATCAGGATTTCTGTTAGGATATGTAGTAACAGAAAAACAGTTTAAAGTGAAGAGAATTCTCTATGTTAGAATGAAAAAAAGATAAGGCAATCAGAATTCTGGAGACTTCTAGATAACTACTGGAGAATCAATTGATCCCTTATGCCTAACAGATACACTTTTAACCAAACTGTTTATTCATCCTACCTTGATATTTAACAACTCATTACCAACAGGTTGACCAAGAAGAATATTTTCCAGTTTTAAATCTCGATGAACAATATCTTAAAAAAGAGTCAAAAACAAACAAATTAATCATTCTAAATGAACAACAGACCTTTGATTACTATCAACTCATTGATCTCAATTTTCTGTAATCTTCTTTATATCCCATTTTGTCTTTCTTTCTGAATGTCTTGGGAGCTTTCCTTGCTAAACAATTACAGCCACTGTACTTAATCTAGTCTCCTAGACAGTTGGTCTAGCTTAATGCAATTTTTTCATCTTAAAATCAACATCAATAAAATCAAGTCAGTGTAAGCTTTTTGCATCCCAGTATTATGTTAAAAATTTTGTAAAAAGATCCACCAAGAACAAATACCCCAAGCAATAAGGGCATCACTAAATTCTCAAAACTCTATTTCTATATACCCTGTATGTTACAAGTCATTCTCATGTGGCTACTAGTGTATGAGATTTAAAAATAACCTGAATGTGTTAATAACATGACAAAAGTTAAACTCATTTTTACTCAATTTCTTAAGGAAGGCCTGTTGTTTCTCCACTTACCACAGTCATGGAGATATGCCACAGCATGAGCAAGCTGGTTTATCACTGTCCATGTTTCCTGAAAATCAATCAATACACATTAAATGTTTTTCCAATAAAATTTCAAAACTGCTTTATTTGTCTGAATTGTTTCCTATGTGTTCAAAATTTATGGTCCTATAAGATAAACAACCAATAGGTTACGTGGGACAAAAATCACAGCACAAGTTCTATTTCAAAAGAATGACCTTAAATTCTGATGAAAGCACAAAAGTATGAAAAAATATACTATATACCTTTTCTGTAAACCGGGTCTTTTTTTCGAGAAGTTTCTGTACACCACCAGCATCACACAGTTCCATCACTAAATACATGCGCTGAAATAAAAACAGACATATGGGTAATCCTATTCATCAAATGATGATGATCACTTGACATGAACACCATCACTGCAACATAAACAACATTTGGATAATCAGGGCCAAATATCTTTAACAGATGTGTTGAAAGAATATATTGGTACATACCGAAATAAACAGGCCTGCTTTGACCTCCCACCACTAGCCCTAATAATTAGCCATTTTCTTTATTTCTAGAAATAACATATTGCAAAAAATAAGGTAAAGTTAGGGTTACTAACCTTTGATGTTTCATATATTTCTTCTAAATGAACCAAATGCTCATGATCAATCTTTTTCATAATTAGAACTTCCCTCTCCAAAAGTTTTACAGCAGAAGTACCAGCCTATAGTGGAAAAAAAATGCTTTTGATTATTATTACCCTGACCATGTCTAAAAACTGAAAAAAAGGCCCTAGCTATAGCTTTATAGAGTTATCAAATGGAAACAAACCAAAACACCTCTAAACCTCATAGGGTGACTAGTATCTAATATCTTCATACAGCATCACTACTGCTTTAGAAATGATAATCACCTTAAAATGCTCTTGAATATTAAAAAAAAATTTTCTCATTAGTACCATAAGAAATGTAGACCAAACAGTATTGAGAATAAGCATACTGATATTAGAATATAAAGGGTTTGTGCGGCACTGAAGAGGTGTAATAAATAAAGGTGGTCTATATCTTTTATTCAGGCATGATAAATTGCCCTCTAGGTCAAGGGTTGATCTGATATATTGATCACCAATGTACTTTACTCTTAGAACTGGAGTGTTCTGAAAGACATCCCTATAGAAATATAAAATAACTCACATTTCTTACTTGCCTACTGAAAAGGAAATTCAAGACATTTATGTTTTCAGAAGGATGAAAAGAGAACTGAAAACTTTAAATTTAGCAACTTTCATAAAACAAAAATGACAAAATTGAAATCAGCATACAAGATCAGATTCTGCACGCCTATTATCAATCACTCCTGGGTTATAATCCTCTTTTTATCATGTCTTAAAATTCACTCCAAATCCTGTTTCCCACCAAACTAAGGCTAACTTTCAATAGGCACTCTAGGTATTGTTTCTATGTATCTGTAAAGCATACAAGTGGAGGATGGCAAAGGGTTTAAGTGTGCTGCGTGATCAAGCCCAAAATTAATAATTGTGGTGTATAAACTTAGAAAGAAAAGGAAGGTTAGAAGAGATTTTAAGTTTTCCCTTTTATATTCATGATGCATGAAAAACTTTTTGAAGTGCACATGACTTATGGATTTTCATAATGCATGAAGCGGGATTAGGACCCTTCCTTTGCTAGCCTCTAAGCAATTCACATCAGTCAAGGCCTTACATGCATAAAGCATGTTTGGTGAAATTTGACCAACTGTCAAAGTTTTGAGGTTGCCTTTCAAAGGCAATTACAGAAAGAGATGCACTTTTTGCACATAATTTTACATGGGATATATCACTAATATAATTATTAACTAAAGGTTTTGAGGTTGGACTATAATACATGTAAATAAAGTTTCTAATAAATTTATGGTCTAGGTTGGGATATTGAAATGGAACATATTTTTAGATGTCACAGAGGGGTAGTGCTTTCAGTCTAATCACAGATATAAATTCCCTCAGTAGGGGACCATTGGAAAACAGCTCCTGAAAATTCTAGAAAGGGTGTGCACATAACTGTTTCTAAATTTAGTAAATCAGGCTTGCAAAAAGCATGTGACATGACAGTAAATAACTTTTCGAGAACAACGTTGGTTTGTATTCCAAATTAAATTTTTCTCAAAGAAAAAAAATTATAACCCTAGAAATACTAATATTAAGCATAGTTTAACTCCAATTCTGTTCTAAATGAAAACGATAAACTTCCCACTCCTGTAAGAGCCGATAGCTGACGTGCTAAACATCTAAACAATAGGTTATAGTGTAAGAGAAATAACTTGATTAAAGTCCAGGATACGAACAATTTGCTTGGTGATACACTGAATAATAAAGCCAGGAAGATATTTACAACCACGGAAATTTTACATTTCACCTCTGACCTTTATCAGAACCAGCTGGTTTTCCTTTAAGATTTTTAATCTGTATCACAAATTGTGAACAACCGGAAACTAAACAAAAAGCATTAACATAATATCGGAGGAATTATATTCATTTTGCACTTGGATTGAGGGCGATAAAACTTTTCATTGTGCCATACCTTTTCCTTGTTAACAGCTTTTATGGCCCATCTACTACCCGTTGCTTTGTTTGTTGCTTCCTTGACAACCCCAAAACTCCCTCTTCCAAGTACTTCTCCAAATTCGTAAATGTCCTCTATCTGCCTTTCGTCCTCAATTCGTGTATGTGGGATAGTCCTGTTACTGGCAGAGCCGTCTTTTCGAGAATATTGAGACATAATCCTCGTAAGATCAATAGGATTCCATATTTACCTCATCACGATGCGTTTTTTTACCTGCGGATTACGGAAAGAAAATAATTTAGTAATGAAACCACCAGAGGGAAATTATATAGACATAAACTGGAGTTTATTTCAAATGCATAATTAACTTTACAAGGATGAATGTTGATATGCGAGCGACTTTTACTCCAAGCTGTGAAAAACTATTCAATATTGGGTCTCGCACAAATTAAAATATCTAGCGACAAGAGCACCTCAATAAACGTAATACTCAACCTGATAGACCTTGATAAGACTTCGAAATTCAATGTTTTCAGAAGCGATTACATGCAGCTAATGAGTTGCTTCAATAAGTGGAAATTTACATCTAGTAATATTGCCGACTTCAACATAGGATACAATTTACGCGACTCAACGGGTGACAGAAACCCTCCAGCCTCCAGAGCGCATAAAACAAAGTCTTCTCTAAGATTTCAAGTGCATAATCAAGAGAGCTATACTGCTTAGGCCGAGGAATTTAGTTGCGATTAGTTTACACAATATCGGCCGAGGTCATGTCACAGAAATCACTAGTGAAAGAGTTTGATTGAGCAAGCTAATGGCCGCACCGGGACAAGAAGTGAATGCAAAGGAAGGTAAGAAGAATCTTTCGAAATAACTAGCGCTGCGCCTACCCTCCAATTATAGAAACCAGTACTTGCTTTTACTCATTAGAGGATTTGTACAAACAGTTCGAGGTATCAAACAAAATAAACCAGGGACGCTTATCGGCTCGCACTAAAATAGATGATACTACAGATGTCGAGTGTTGAATCATTTCAAGAACTTTCCGAAAAAAATTGTCGTCGTGATCTTACCTACCTTGACAAAGTTCCGACTTCAGGGAGAAGAGAAAACTGGTGTGTTTCATTTCTCCTACCTCTCCTTAAGTTTTCTGCATAAAATTTTCTGTAAACCTGGAAACAAATTCATAGAGAAGCCCTCAAACTTTGGTAAACTTTGACAGAAGGCGAATGAGTAACAGGACGAAGAGTCCTGGTACCAAGAGTACCAAACAAAGTTTCGCCGCGAGGCACTAGTCCTAGTCGAAGTCCCACTTCAAATGAGGGATATAGTCAAAGACTGTAGTCAAAGACTGTATGTGGCTACTGGTATGATACAATTTTTTTAGCCTTGAAAATAAATAGAGGTTGTATAATGACGTTAGAAGGCAGCGTTGCACAATATTTGTCTCATATGCAAAACAGAAAACCTACTTCATCCCACATATTTATGAGTACCCTGTCCATGTTCCACATGAGAAAGATGATTCAAGAATATATTGTATAACTGATATTCAACCAAAAGTTAAATGGTAACAAATAATAATATTAACAACAATTGTAGTGATAATAATAGCTGTATGACAATATTTTTAAGGGGCTAGCTCAAATTAAAAGCCTCATGGTTCCACAATCCTCTGAGTTCTAATAATGATCACCTATGCTTCTTTTGATTTCACCTGTTAATTATAAATAATGTTATCATTTTATTACAATTTCACTTTTTGAGAATTTCTTTTCATATAATAGAGCATTCCGCGTTTTAGGATATTCAGTCTTTCCGCGTCTCATGATCTCTATAGCTTCCTTCCGTCATTCCATCGATCTACCTTTCCTCCGTTCTATCATCCTATTGAATAACTCAAGGTATCGTATTTAGCAGCTTGCTCGCTCAGTTATTTCGGCCCAAGTCGCCGATTCAAACAGTAAAATGCTCTCTTTTCAATGAAAAAATTTCGTCACGGCTTCCATGATGAGCAGATCACATCTACTGAGATACTTCTACTTGACAAAGTTTTGATTTAAATTAAGCGTCGGTGGATGCCACCATGAAATTATTTTGAGATGTTTCCCGCTTTTTATAGAACTGAAAGATTTTTTCTTTGGATCTATATCAATAAAAACGGAAAAATGCTCTCCCTTCAAAGGAAAAAGATTTCCGCGAAGTTTCATGATGCACTGATCACTCTAAATTTCAAAGATACATTTGCAAGGATAACTTTTGTCTAACCACAAACAAGGAATCGTTACGAAGGCTGTTGAAGAATTCCTAGCTCTAGTCGTCTCATAGTTTTTCATCTCGTGCGGGTATCGCGCCTTAATAATACTTGGTACCACCAAGACTAACTGATGGATCAAAATACAGCATGACTTCGATGGAAAATGAATTTGTTCTGCTGTTGGGAAACGAGTTCAAGTAGGGGGCGAACTTGCTTTACTACTGAAGGCAAACTCGCAAAGGTGGTAGGAGCGAACTTGCAACGGGACAAAACCTCCATAAATCCCTCTAGATCTTGCCTTGATAGAACGGTTTATGGTGGTTTCGCCCTAGTGCAAGTTCGTCCCCCTAAGTATAACAGCATATTGGTGTTGAAAGCTGAAATGCGCTGGGACTGCTTGTTGCCTCTTAATTCAACCTCTTAAAATATTATTCGGCGACTGCTTCCAACTACTTGGAACACTTGATCGTCTAGTTCTGTCTGGTGATCCGAGCAAGGAAACTGAATACAAAGAAGAAGTGAAGAATTCGAAATTTAACGCAATCGTTTTCCAAAGAATTTTCTCAGTGTAGACCTAAGCTCGGAATCGAGAAAGCGGTCATTAGTTAAGTCCTATCTTAATCATAAGATTTTATTAAGGAAATATTCTTCACACTAACACTAAAACCTCACTCTTAAATTACTTTAAAATTTTACGTTTAGCCGTTGAGCTTTTTTAAGTTCACAAAACTACCGAGAAACTTGCTATCCACTGCAATGCGCAATACGAGCAATCCCCCTTTCCCATGTTAATCTAATATAATGTGCGTGCCAGTAGCATTGCCAAACGAAAAAAAAAAGGGAAATAAGAAAAAAGTAAGTACCAAAGCGGCGTTCATGGGGCACCGGAATCTATCTCTGCAAATTTATGTTCACCTCTACTACGCATTACGTTTGGAAGGAGAGCCACCCATAAGCTGTGAGCTCGAAAAACTCTTCGGTCTCTTCTTGCACTATAACGCATCAAAGTGTCTTCTCCTAGCTTCGGCGTGGCAATCGCATCCGTACGCGGCTCTAACCTTCAACTGCATTTCCTAGACTTTCTTTCCACATTTCCTGGTGCGCTCCCTTCTCGCCCACGTCATTTCTTCAATTTAGCTCTTATTGCATATAATTTCACTGCGTAACACAATGTCTGGCACTTAACTATTCTTAAATTTCGATTTGACTTTGTTTCATTCATGAAACTATTTAAACTGTATCCTTTAAAACTAAGTCTACTCATTTGTTATAAACGTCAAAATCACTCTAAACTACCATGCATTATAACATACTATTATGTTAACTTAACCTAAAACATATTCAAAAGATCTTATGGCTGTTGCTAGAATAATTTATGGAATTCTTACCTAAAGTTGTCGGTTTGACTAAAACTATTTAGGTTGTAATATAACGCAACGAGAAGAACTGAAGCGTCACGCAACGAAACAGGTAGATACGTTGTGTAAAGGCCCGGCCTAACGAACGCAACATTTCAACGCAACATTGTAGAAAACAACGTGTTAGACACGTTTGGACACCCTGTGGCAACATATTGCTACATGTTGAAAGATGTTGGATAGGGTTGGATCAGGTGGAAAACGGCCATATTTGTGTTGCGACATTTTTGGATGTTGTAAGCTGTTGCGCGCGTTTGGCCATCTCCTTCACAGCATCTCACAACACGATCCAAAAGTGTTGTAAGATGTTTTCTGTTGAAATGGTGCGTGCGTTTGACCAGGCTTTTAACGACACAGAGAGACAAGGCTTTCTGTCGTTATCACGTGACCTCACATCGGCCATGCGTTGTAAATTCTCTTTCGTTTGAGGAAACAAAAATGGCCGCTTGTCACATGAATGAAAATCTATTCTGTGGGATAGTTTACATTTTTACTCTGCAAACTTTTACAGATACTAGTGAAACAGTATTAAATATCCAAGTATTGTTAAAAATATTAGGTGAAATTCTCCGATACCAAATGAAGCTGAAAAAGCATCTCGCGTTTCGCTCCCGTTAATAATGAAAATATGTGCAACCTCGAATTCCCATGCAATAAATTTACTCCTACTTACTTTATATAAACTCTTGTCTGAATATCCTATATCAAACTAACACATTTTCTACTCTCTCTCTCTTTTTTTTTTTCGGGGGAGGAGGGGAAAATTTGAATCGCTCATATTTTGGTCAGTAATTCCTTACATATTCCGGAGGTTTTTATGTTGTGTTGAAACTATAAAGTGCCAGCTGAGGTAGCCAATTTGGAAGGGGGGGGGGGGAAGCATCCTATTTCTTGTAGGGATGGGAGGGCTAGGTGTGTCAGCTGAACATAGGAAACTCAAAAAGAGCGAAAGCTAGTCAGAAAAGTCCCTCGGCTTGGTACGAAAGCATCCAAAGAAACTGATCTGAACCTCATGTTAATGGATTTTGCGGGTTTAGTCATCGTACAAAGCTTTCATTTCTGCCATGCTCTCCCTGATAGTTGCACAAAATCGTTTGCAATCCTGTGAGGAAAGAACGCGAGAAAGTATTTAAAAATGAAAAGAAGTTTAAGTGCAGTAAAACAGTTTAGTTCGAACTTCGAGAGGAACTTCCAGAGAAAAACTGACTTTGGAACACTTGCGACCCACCCTTACTAACATCAATCGTGCCAGAACTACATAAAACTGCCCAAGGGGAATTCTGCAATAACAAGAATTGAATATGGGAGTCAGAATTTTTTTCTAAGTCGCGACAGGACGTATCTTATTACCGACTCAGAATTAACCATCTCTCTTACTCGATTTAAACAAATGACGCTTTCGACTGGACGTAAGACCAGCCATGTCACGTATGAAGCTAGCAAAGTGTAATGACCTCCCTCAGCATAGAAAGTATCTGTAGCTCAGTGGTAGAGCGTTAGCGTGTGGAATCTGTACCTCTTAGGTTTGACTCCTCAGAATCTTTCCGCTGTCTCACGCTCGTGTCAAGACGAAAAATATCTTTCTGTCCGAACTGACCAAGCACAGACAATTGAAATACTTACAGTGAGCTGGGACGAAACCTTGCATGTGACATGATAGAAGATAACATCTTCACCACCAATAATGTACGATACTCCGTAACCATCATCAGCGACCTGATAAAAGATAACAACACTTGTCATCTGAGGTGATATTCAATTTGTAATTCGGTAGTGACCGGTGAAACTAAAACAAAACTTTACAATCAAAGAACCGATCTGAACCTATCGAACGAGATAAGGTTTGCAAGTTTGTGAAATATCAGATTCAACAGCCCTCCCAAAAAGAATACAATTAAAAATAAAGCAAACAGATAAATAACTAAATAAGAATAGGTAGAAAACAGTTTGCGACAGCTACACCTAAAAGAAACCCACTCTGAGCCTTTAACTTAATGTGCAAACTCCTTTACTAATTCTAAAACAAAGTGAAGAAGACAGGCTTTCGTAACGAGAATTTAGGACACCACCATTTACAGGAAATCTTTTGATCTTCATGGCTGTTTGATTGATAATAGAGAGAAAGAGTAACTGAAGGAGTAGCCCTCTCAAAAACGCATGAATCAATTTGTCTACTAACCAGGATATGTGATTTTGATGTAGAACCAAATTTTGCAAGACTAGCCAGCGAAGTACCCTATGATTTCTTGAGAAAGGATAGCTTAACGAAATAGAAAGTTATCTTACAGGTCCAAACCCTCCTCCAGCCGTTTTCATTCCTGGATACTTGATGTAGTTTCCTCTATTTGTTTGCTGGGTTGCAGTCTGAAATGCGAAGAGCATTTCAATACAAACAGCACATCACGTAATCAAATTAAAAACAACAACAACAACAACAACAAAAACATTTCGCTCGCTATTCTACATGTGGTACGAAGGGGAAACGAGTTAAAAATGGCACCGACGATAAATCTTCGACCTACAATCTAATAATCTTTTTTTCTTCATACGTGACACTTGTTCTGGAGA